ATTAGCATACCCTGATAGAACCTCAAATCTCCCTCTACCATAATTAAACTGACTATTAGCAGGAAAACGAGAAATATATGATGCATACAGTCCAACCGCCAAAGCAGCACAATCAAACAACATGTGGCATGCATCTGATATCAACCCAAGACTGTTACTCATAAACCCCGCGACAAATTCCACAACCATGTAACCTGTGTTAATCAAAAGAAAAAGAGCAATCTTTCGAGACTTCCTCTCACTTAATATATGACGAATAGGTTTCATGATCAACACACTTAATGGCTCTGCAGAGTCCAACCCCAGTTCAACATATTTTGAATAAACAGGGTCCAATTCACAAACAGCAAAATACAGCAAGAAGCCACACAATGCCAATCCCATGAGTGATATTTCCGGGGAATAAAATAGCTCCAAAACAATAGTGCAAACAAAGGTAACCAAAAACTCTCTATGGAAGTCCTTAGAACTGACTACCTTGTCATCACCATAATTCCCACTCAAAAGCACTCCAAAAACAACCGTATTAGCCAAAGGCCAACCTATATTCCCAATAGAAACACCACCTCCTTCAACCTTAAACACAAAGAAACTCACAGTAGCAGGCACAAAGAGAAAAACTGTAGCAAAAAACAATGTAATCAACCGAACCCGTTTTCGACCTAGTTGCCTAATACTCCACCAGTTCATCGAGACCCTCTCATAATAACCCAAAAATCCAGACAAGAAGGGAAGCAACATAGGCCAAATCCTTAGACAGTTCTCTCTACGATAGACCGAGAATCCAAATTTATCTACAAAGTAGGTACTAAGAGGAAAACAATCTGTCTGATACCAACTCATGGACAGAAAAAGTAAACCAGCAAATAAAAGACAAAACCCACGAACCATAGACGAATAAAAATTCCGACTTGGGTTCTGCCCTTCAGCAAAGAACCTTGCAGCCACATTTCCTGAGAGCTCCACGAGGATCATGGCTGCGGTTCCGCAGTATCTGAGGGCTTGAAACCTGATCACGAAAACAGTGGCTAAGAGGAGGGATTTAGGAAGAAGTAGCTTGAGTTCGGAGTGGGAGGGAGAAGAGAGGGAGAAAATGGTGGCATTTTGTTTGGAGAGAAGAGAGAAGAATAGAGAAAGGAGGAAAGAGAGGAGAGAGAAGAGGAAGGAGAAGGGGAAGAGGGTGAAGGAGGAAGGAGAAGATTGGAGGAAAGGGAGGAGAGAATAGAGGGAGCGAAGAAAGAGGGAAAGGATGAGGAAGGAGATGGGGGATTTATTATTTTGTGAGGATTTGGAAGGGAAGGAATAGAGAGAGGAAGGCCGAAACTTGGATGGAGTCGGGGTTGGCGTGGAGGAAGGGTAAGGATGCAGGAGGTAGGATCGAGGGATGCTGGCCGAAGTGGCGGAAAAGGTGACGGAGCGTTGGGGAACAGGTAGGCGGTGATAATGGTGGTGGTGGTGGTGGTGGTGGTCGTGGCCGGCCATTGTTTTCCGGAAGGGAGACAACAGAAGGCCGCTCTGTTCCGGTCTTGATTACTGATGACTGACTCAAAAGTCAGCGCCTTTACGGGACTGGGGAATGGAAGATTTTCCGATTTTGCTCCTGAAAATCTGGGCCATTTGATGATGGGTTGAGTTGTCGGATGTTGATCTAGTA